ATGTATTTTGTTCTTCTTGCCGAGATCAAAATTTAGTCTATAGCTGGAATTGCCCATTGTGAATTAGACCTGACCAGGAGCAGTTGCGAAAAATACAACTTTGGGCTCTCTGGTAGAAATCGAACCTGCGGCCCTGCGATTCCACAACCTCAAAACCTGGACGCGTTTGCAGTTGCTTTCAGTCTTCGGGTTTGAATTTCATTCACTCCTTTGGGATTTAGAAATGTTGAATTGAGTGTACCTCATCTTGGAAACGAACTCTATCATTCTCAGCATCTTGATAGCGTAGGCGTAGTTTTGCAGACTGTCTTTCGGAATTCGACACTTTCTTCTCTTTTTCAGCGTTATTATTCAATTCATTGTCAAGAAAATTCTACAAAATGACATAATGAGGTTATTGGAAAAAATCATAGATATCTTATATACACTAGATAGCACTCTCTTTAAGTAAAATTGAAGCCAAGAATATTCTAGCGGTTACCCCCATTTGAATAGATGGCGGCCATGTTGGAGTCTCCCACTCGCTAATAAACGCTTAAAAACAACTGACAATAACTTTCATAATTTGAACAGTTTGAAAATGTATTTGGAATAGGTTTAACTTAATGTTTAAGTTCCCTGTTTAAGAAATAGAAAACATGCGAGTCTTCTCATTTCATGGGAATATCCATCTAGCATGACAAAATTACTGGATGCTGATTGGTTGAGAGGAGTACAATTATTTCATCAATTGTACTGCAGTACAATTAATGATTCTCCCAAAACAAACAAAATGGTGGAAAGGTATTTTGAACACAAATGTGAAATGAAACTGCCCTTGAGGAACTAGATGAAAACACGAACAAAGCACCAAATTTTGCTTTAACAAAAGAACTAAATGACAATATGAACAAAAGCACCAAATTTTGGTTGAAAGTCTGGCAGGACTGGACTTTGGCAAGAGAATATGATGTTGACGGAGAAGTATCCAATTTTGTCATATGCTAATAATAAACAAGTAATCATGCGATGTTGCTCGTACAATTAGGGATTAATTGTACTCGCCATCGTATGATTACCTATACTAATACAGAAAATTTGTCACTTTAATCACCTGATCAGGTTAGATCGTATTTGTTCTATGTGAGTCTGTTGTCCGTATTAGAAAGGGTCTGCGTTTTACGACATTACTACCACAACCACGTTATTGACATTACCACTAACGGACTTTTCAATACATCAATTATAAGCTTTGACACATGTTGGGATATGCTGGCAGAGACTGCAGAGCTTCTAGAAATTGTATTCCTAGAAATCGTCAGGATAAGCTGTCAATGTCAAAGTGGAAACTTTAGGCACACCCTCACCTGTCTATCTTGAATTAAATCCTCTTTTGATCTTACTTCCAGTCGGAATTCAGCAAGTCTCTACATAATATCACATCATGGTACTTTTACTTGTAAAGTATAACATTTTCACAATACTTCCAGAATGTACGTCATCTTGGCCATAGAGCCTCGTTTTCGTGACTGAAACGTTATGCTAATGTCGCGTACACGAAAATGAGGCTGTATAGCCAAAGTGACGTTCTTGCTGGAAGGGTATATTGCTACGGACAACAACTATGTGGGACAAGCATAAAAGTAAAACTACATATTATATAAAAGTCTTCGTCTTCCCTTTTAAAAAACTGGCGAAACTATATAAAACAATCGAAAAAGCTAAGAGTAACCGCGAAAATAAAGGTCAGTTTTGCAGTGGGTTTAATTTTTCACGCTCCCGTTTTCATTGAAGTTCGAATCTCTCCCGAGTTCAAAGAAATGTGAAGAAAACAAAGTGTAGACGGAGTAGAGATGTTCCCATCCGTTCATTATCGTAATCGATTAATCGTCATCAACAATCTATTAAATCGATTAATCGTCCACAGTGGTCAACGTCGCTTCCAAGAAGGGGGCGTGTCCTTAAGTTTTTACTTGATGGCCAATGGGAGCGCTAAAGTGGTAGCAGAGAAATAAACAAAAACAAGTCGTGTTTGTCATTTGATCACATCGTAATTTTTTCAGTCGGGAAAGAAAGTTATCCACTCGGCATGCTATACAAAGCTATTTTGTTGCTTCGATTATCACGGTGTACTTTGTTGATTGCTAAAAATACAAAAAATAATCGAATGAATCGCTCTAAGACTGAGTAGTGGAAACTCTGCCTTCCAACCTTTCTTCATTTATATTAATTTCCTCTTCTTATCAGTTTTTTTCCAAAACCTTTAGTTCGTGAAGCACAAATGTCAAATGGTAAATAACTCCTACACTATATACACTTCTGCATTTTTCATCGTCGTGTTTGATCATTAGGCTTTTAATTTACATACCACAGCCAACTGATCCATTTCTCTGTCACGTTTCTGCATCTGTTCAATAGTACTCTCCCATTGCTCGAGAAGTTCTTGACGTTCTGCGTGGATCTTACGAAATTCTTCAGCTGTTTTATCCAACTCAACCTAAACATTTGAAGCATTTGAAACACGCATTAAGAAAACTGAGTCTTGGTCAGATTATTTTATTATAAAGTAGTGAGAGAGGCTGATGATGATGGTCAGTGTAGTAGACAAAGTTAATATTCAATTGTTTTGTTATCGAAACAACCCCAATATTACCATATACTGTATGGTACATGCAAACAGTAAAGTCTTAGAGGTTTATATTATGCAGAGTGATAATTTAGAAACACATATAATAAAAGTAGAAATATTATAGTAGAGAAATGAGCGTAAGGAAATGTTGACAGGACACGACACATCATTGATCATCTATACCTTACCTGTGCAGTTGAAGTACGACTTAATTCATGTTCCAGATCTCGACGTTTCTTTTGACTTTCTTCTGTCATCTTTTCTGTTTTCAACGACAGTGACTAAAGAAAAAGTGGCTGGTGATCATGGCGTCCTGCTGGTGACTTAACTCCTACATGGCAAACTAGCAAACATTGTTTCTCAGCCTTATGTTCAAAAGGTGGTCAGATCAAGAAACATTGTTCGTATCAAAATCATGTTCTGAATTGTCGGGAAAACGTTTTGCTTCCTGGAAAGCAATTGTTGTTTCCGCAACAAGCATGGACAAAACATTCGAAGAAACATCGAAATGTTCAAATATTTCTGCAACAATATTTCCAAGGGTGAGGGGTCGAATCAAGTGTTAAAAAAATAACAAGTAAGCAATAAACCCCAAAAAGAATTTAAAGATTAATAGCAATGCAAAGTTTCACCGTGCACAATCAAATGAATATGGCATGGATGAAAGTTTCACTAAATGTCTTGAAAGTTTCACTAAATGTTACTTCATCTTAACTTTACTTTCATCAGATCGAGTATACTTCTCAAAAATTAAAGCTCCTTAATTCTTAACTCTAACTCTGTCTTAATCTACATGATGCACTATAATTGTTCAATTAATAACTATAATTATGAATAGTATACCTTAACTTTACTTTCATCAGATCGAGTGTACTTCTCAAGAATCAAAGCATCTTCGTCTCTTCTTGCAGATTCTTCTAACCAAGCTTCTAAAGCTTTCTGATCCCAGTTCATTTGAGATTTTAGTTCCTCCAACTGCTTTGTCTTCGTAAATATGTTGTTCTAAATAATAGATCAACATCATGTCACATTTCACTCCGCTAGGGCAGCGTAATTTAAAGTACTAAAAGTAGATAGAAATTTGGCAAGAAACATTTTTAAGAACACAAGAACTGTCCAAAGGATCAGTTCGATTTGAGGTGCCTAGAAAAAATACCGAGATCCAATTAAACTGTTACGGAATGCATATATACTTTTGCTCAATTAAAAAGTATAAAAATGTAAAATTACTAATTGTCATGCAATAGCCGTTCTAATGCACAAAAACTTTAGTTCTTTCTCGATTCTTTAATCTAATAAATTAAATATAAGTTGCACTCATTTGTCATACAAACGCGTCAGCGGAGAATATAATTATACCTCTGCGATATTTCTCCGACTATCCAGTTCATTCAAGTCATTTTGTATTCGCTTCATTTCATTTCGCAATCTTCCTTCTTCTCGTTCAGCTAGACAGAAAGTACAAAAAGTATTGATCTGATGAAATTTTTTGGCGAAAATATGCTCACGTTTGACTTAGCGTGACTGAATAGCACCTGTGAGAGAGCGGGGCTCAAGGAAAGCTTCCCACGAACAGAGCTTAACTATACGCTTCAAAGACGTCTGCAAAGAGATCTGACGGCCATCTAGGAGGCAAACAGTGAGGAAATATTCAACACTGCGGCCAACGCTGGAACTCCATGCACATCATTCTTCTAACTTTCAAACAGACACTTAGCAAGCAGTCGGAAAGCAACAAGATAGAGACAGATGGCACAAAACCTGACGCTCGCTCTGACTAAACGCTGAGAGACCATCGTGAGATGGCAAGTGCGGTACCTATACAGATAATGACTTACCAACTTGTTTGAGATGATCTTCAGTGTTAATCTCACGTTTTCTTGCATTAAGGAGTTCCTATCATGAATGAAGAGAGAACGTACAAAAACGTTGGAGTGCTATTAGGGCTCCTAATGACAACAGTTAACATTGTAACTGATTGGATTACCCTATTTAAATAAAAGTTTCTATCTAAAGCAACAAAAGTTGAGTCCTATGGCATAACCTAAGTGGCCCACATCAGACATCAATTATGTTGTAATATTATTATATCGTGTTTAACTCATTCTATCAATAATTCATGGAGTTATTGATCAGCTTTTTTCAAAATCAGTAACCAATTCAGACTATTTGTAATTTTAAAAAATGTGCAATTTAAACTGTTTTTTAAACTGCAATTTAAATACAGCATAATAGAATTGAATATTAAATAACTTCATTAAATGACTAGACTAATTATTAAGTTTTTACGAAGTAAAATTTAAGCTTCTTTAAGATCATCAAACGTTCCATTCAACAACACTATTCCAATAGCAAATTTACTTTAATTGCCTATAACATTCACGTAAAGTCATGATACACAGCACTATTCAACACATTGAGCATTTGAATAGACATTATTTCTGTTGTGGATATACAGACTATGCCGAGATACTTGCGTGTTTCGAAAACGAAGACAGACTACCTAAGGTGGGTCCTCGTTTTTGACTCACGGATGTTGCGAAGCCAGTCTTTACATGGGGTTTGCATGAGTGTGGGGCAGTTAAACTATGGGAAATGACCAGCCTGCTTTGCGCGCACTGTTTGCCTGCGAATCGGGCCTTTCAGAACCGGAACTGTACCGGGCTAGAGCACGCGTTCGTTCTTTTGATTTGGCGAAAGCACGACAAATGGCAAAATTCGCACGGTCCTCGTTTGCACAAACAACTGCAAACTGCTCTAATTCTTTCTGTCACTTTCATTTGATTTCATCCGTGAGTCGGCCTCAACGACCTTTGATTCATAATTACGAAAGCAAAGACCCATCTTCGCTTCAACCTCGTCAGTTGTCTACGCTTTCGTATTTCGAAAACAAAGACACACAGGTACTCTCTTCGTGATTCGAAAAAAATAAGTACAAAAATTTTTCGATAAATTATAGATGGTGAGCATAAAAGAAAAAGTATTGTTAGCAATAATAAAGAACCCCCACATACTTTTTGCTTTTACTTAATAGAAATAACTGTTACAAAGTGATGTACAAAAAACGTTTCGTTTGAAAACCTAAATGATCTGAATTTCATCAGATCACTGTCTATTAACACTATATACCGACGGAGTATTAAATTTTCGCGCGCTGGACATGACTTTTTTCCAATTAGCAGTGACACCCTACATATTTGAAGAGAAAATTGCGTGAAATTATCGCTTGTGAAATAAGGAATCGTGCCTTTAAACGATCCAGAACGACATGAAGAAAGTAATTTAGAAATTTGAGTTTATTGTGTGCATTAACAGCATTATTCTCACTGGTAGAGCGTTGCCTTAAACGCACAAAACCGTTAACCCTCCAATCGTTTCCTTTCACACACTAATACGCTTATTTTTTGTGAATCGCGAAAAGAACGTGAATCATTTTGACATGAGCTTTTGTTTTCGTCACGTGAATTAATGAACTTCAAAATGGATCTTAAAGTTTTTTTCGTATAAAAGTGAAGATGGATCGTTTGTTTTCATAATTTCGAAAAACGAACTAACTAAAGATCCATCTCAGGTTTTGTTCTTCGTTTTCGTAACAGCCAAAGATCGTTCCCTGATCAATGTTAAAAAGAACTACTGTAGGTGATACAAGGGAAAAGTTCATTTTATCCATAACTCTGTTACAGTTTCTTATAATTTAATAATATGTTATATATGCTATTTGTAATTAGTTTCTGAAAATCCATTTTTGGATAAACAATCATTCATTTTATAATTTAATTACAATAATAACTACATTCTTCCAGCTGAAATCAGAAGTGGGTTTATTTAACCAATAAATATTCATATGGGTATCTAATTAAAATTTATGATGTATGTAAATGATGTGAGCATTCTGGCCAGAACTAACTGGTTGGAACAGAGTAGATATGCACCTACACCAGACACAGGATTTTAGAGACAGGCTGGTTAAAAGAGAGGGGGGGTAGAATGGTGTGTCTATTAAAGATAAGCCTTATTAGAAGAGGTGCTATAATTAGGGGTTATCAACCTTTTAAGTGGCAATGCACCCTGATGCACCCTACTAACGTCAGATGATTTTACTCGTCAAGGGGAGAGTTCTAGCTGCCACTCAGTGGGTTAAGGATGTACAGTTTATTAGATATTTAAGTCTAGTTGAGAGAGAAGTTTATTAAAAAAGGGGGAGGGGTATCAGAAAGGATGTGGATATGGGAATTGGCATGATGGCTATTAGACATTGGCAGACCACTGCACACATAATAGAATTCCAGCTGCCTATAAGCACATTTATGATTTGTTTAAAATATAATTATATAACTGCATGCAAGCTACTTTGAATGTATTTTTGGATGTATATATTAGAGCTTTTAATATTTGTCATGCAGTGAGTAATTAAGAAGGCTTCGTGTCTTCAGGAAGGTCAGTGCATCTTGAAGAACTCAAGGCAAGAATTACTTTGATTCTTCCACATTCTGATGGTTCGACTTAATGTATTAGTACCTGTGTGTGCTGAAGTTCTTGCAAGACATTTTTCAAATGTTCATTTATTGCATCTATCCTTTCCTTATGTTCTTCTGATTTATCTTTATTACTCAGGATTTCTTTCTGTTTACTATCAAGCTGAATGACAAAAAATCAAACATGATGATTATTTTAGCAATTAGCATAATTACCAATCAAATGGGGGAGGGGAGGGGGCTATAGACTATAACAGGGGACATGAAGGTTCTGCCAATAATTAAACCCGACTCTTAATTCAGGGAGTATCATAGCCTAAGTATTTGGCTCTAATTTACAAAGAGATCGAGCCGAATGTCAGGGTGCGATAATTTGCGTACTTACATACCGGAGGTACGCCAATATTACGGTCTGGTACTTCTTTGTTTTCAGGGACTTACCACGTAGGTACACGAAACTCTTGCTATCTGCATACTTATACTTTTTGATGCTACCACATGACCTTTCCAAGTCCAAGATATTCAATACCGTAATTTAGTTGGTTTATACCATATGTCTGAGATGTCTTGGCATGAAACATGATTGGACTGATGCGACTAAGAAACGTTGGAGTCGATTGTTTGTATATTATGCAATTGTGCTTCTTTTTCTACCTCATAGTCTGAACATATGTTTCAGTACTTTAATGACTAAATACACATTGAGCACTGAGTTTGTATCAGCTCAAGTACGCAGCAACAACCATTGGCGTACCACTGCTACCAGTCAGGTACGACTAAAAATCTTGAATTATCGAACCCTGCGGATGTAATAATCCAATTGCTCTCTATACCCACAGCAAATTAGTTTATGTTCAGTATATCGAATCAAAATGTCACAGGAGAAATGTCAATTTCACACAATAACAACTGTAAAATATTATTTTGGCGTGGGGAACTTTTCCGTTGTAAATGGCAGTTGTGCGGAAACGAAGGCAGAACATTTGAGAATGGTTGCATAACTTCACCAAGGTGCCACCACGGTTGGTGTCCAGTGGAAAAATATTTTTTGAATTGGCATTTTCATCATTTTCTCTACCTCTTTTCGCAAGGTCCAAGACATAAGAGACAAAATAAATCATTACTTCATCAAGTTCCCTGTGCCAAAATAATACTTTACAGTCTAGAACATGTTTTACTTCCCTGTGCAGGCCAACCCCTCTGGAGACCAACCTGGATTTGTGCTTTTTTATATGCGGCCAGACATGGATTTTGTCAGGGCCTCTTTTCCTCCCATCTGCATTCAAGGAAGGGGAATATGGCATGCTACTCAGGCTAGGGGTTTCAATAAGTCAATCGTTTCTGGAACATGTAGGTTTGACACTGCTAATATATTTAATATATAATGCAATCTAGTTACAAGTTCTTACAACAGGCCAAGGGGCTGAGCTCACTAGGACAAATGACACGCATTGGTAATTTCTTAATTTCAAAATGTACTGTTAGGTATGCGCTCAGTAACGTAGGTTGATCCATAACATTTCAATCAAAGTACGAAATAATAAGCAAAATAATATCTGTACCTCAGCTTCTAGATGTTTATTTTCTGTATTCGCAACAGGCACTGCGATCCCTTCGTCCAAAGGAAAATCACTCAATACTGTTTCCATCATTAAATACTTAAATTTTCCACACTAAACCACTTTATCAAACAATAAAGACAAATTTATTGAGGGAAAAATTTAATTCAACAACAACATTTCGTCCATTTTCTTTGTGTTTTATTGTTGCCATAGAAACAAGCTGCCAGACAAATTAGAACCCAGACCTCTTACCGAGGAAATTCAAGATGGCCGCCAACTCAACGTGCATCTCAATTTTGTGCTGAACTTTTTTAACGTCAATATTCAACGTTTTTCGGTGAAAAGTTTGAATTTTAGTTGTCATATAGGTTTTAAATATAAGAAAGCCATCTCAGGTTGAATTCAGCGACGCCATGTCTTCAGAAAATATTAATTATGACGATTCAGACAGTGAGAATATAAATTTGGCAACAGTTGGAACCACAGGATCTACTTCTACAGAGGCTGATAGTGATAACCTGCAAAGCGACGATAGCGATGCCCCAGTAGGCGTATCATGGAAAGATAGCAAAGCAGTGTTTCAACAAGACGAGAAAAAGAGAAATGATGCAGTGAATTTTGCTCGGTCTGTTGACAAAGCAAAAAGACGTAAGAAAAATGAAATGTTCGTTTCCCAAAAAGAAGCAAAGAGAAAGTTAGCCAAACTACCAGAGGACATTGTACAAGCTGTTGCTAAGAAACCAAAACTAGTAGAAGTGGATAAAATTGAGAAAGAAAATAAGAAACTAGAAAGAAGGAAAGCAAGAAAGAAGAGCAATGAAGAAAGCAAAACAGAAGAATATTGTCACGTTGTAATACTGGAGGAAGAAGTTAATAAATCTAAGAAAGTTCAGGAATCTGCAGCAGAATTCTTGAAAAATCATCTCTATGGAAACAGACTTCAGAGGACATCAGGATCAAAACAATTAACAATGCAATCTAAGAGCTCTGGAGTCATAAAACCTGCTGTAAAGTTTAGTAATAAAGTTTAGAACTGTGCCAAACTACCAAGGACATTTTAAGTTATATGTAGTGTTATATATTACAGTACACAACCTAATAATATATTTATCAAATGTAGGTGTATTTTAAAAGTGTTGAATAAAACTATGATAAACAAAACCAATGAACTCCCTATTAAAATACTAACATTACAAACGTTGTGCTCCGTGCAGTAAGCTGTCGTAGTTGATGTCTGAACTATGGATAATCTAAATTGTTGGTTGTAGCGTTTTGTATTTCGATACCGGAGCCTCTCAACCCACTACCACTGGACAGACGCCTTAATCAACAGTTCAACTAAACGAATTAAATAGCCAGTTAAAAGGGTAAAAACTCTGTCATGCATCAGTATCCCATTAGGGACCGGTTGTTCAAAACTGCATGGTTGTATTTCTGTACGTCTGTTTATTTCAAAACGTTAGAAGATAAACCTTCTATTGATCCAGACAAGATTTCTAGAAAAATATTTCCATGTTTATAAGCGAGCTGTTGGAAAGATTGCTTTGAAGATTTTATTAACCTGCCCCAGATCTCTATCTCGCGGCCAAAAAAGGCCCCAAACTGCTGTGGCGTTAGCGGTACTTGCTACCATAATAGAGAAGTTGGACTACATATTAATATATCCAATTAACCAATCAGATGAGTACCAAGCAAGCGAGAGGTAGTGGAAGTCAAATCTGAACCTCTCTTAATGGCTTATGGTGTCAAATAAACAGAATGGAGATATTAGCGGCCATTTTAACAGCAAATGTCCCATAAGTGATATCACAAAAGGCGAGCGAGGCATCTTGTATCACTTCTTAATCTTTACTACAATAATACAATACATACTTTAATTTGCAATGCATTTGTCAAGTAGCATTAAACTGGCTAACAATGTTAGTTTATCTTTCAGTAATATACCATTCCTTCCATTACAAAAAGTTTCTTGAGCTCTGGCATATTTTACCCCTTTTACCAAAAATCCTGTTCAAATACTTTCTACATATTCTTCATTATCAATGGAACAATATCATGATATACGGTAACAATATTGAGCTCTTGCAAGTCACAACACGTATTTGTCGCCATTTTGGGTGGCAAATTAAAAATAGTTACTTACAATCAAACATGGCGTCAAAGCAAGTCTGTGGTACTGACTGCGGCTGTTGCTTTTGTTTGAGAACTTTTGACCACAGCTGTGTAGTAGTCAGTTGAATACAAGACTTTTGCCACCCAAAATGGCGAGTTATTTTTGATGATACGTCATAGTGCAAGACTTGAATATGTGGTCTGTCCTTGAGTTCTTGACTAATATTGTCAGTGATATCAGCTGCTTATTGTTGGAAAATACGTTCATTCCGTTATAACTTCAGGGGAGAGGTAATTATATCGTGCAATTAAGGTAGTTTTTACTACAGTACAGTTGGGAATTTACAAGTATAGTCGTTAACAAACTAAACTTTTTACAAACAAGAATAAAACGTAATCATGAGAGTTCCTTGATTTGTTTTATAAGGTATGTCTTTTCATCTGTAAATTGTTCATCTTCTGTTAAACAAATGCAAAGAAAATTATTACTAAAAGAACAGCGATAATGCATTAATTAAACTTCCATCTTACTTTTGGTATCTCATATCTAAGGTAAATTAATGTTAGGATGCGATAAAGTCAACTGAAGATAAATATTATAGTATTACTGTAAACGTGGTAGATTATAACGGTCGGCATCGGCTATTTGACGCACAAAAACACTAAATATCCAATTAACTTTATTCTGCACAGACATATTGACTGATCAAATTTATTTGTCAAATTAATTTATACACAGTTTTCATTGTATGTGTGTTATTTAATTAGTACTGTTCATAAAAGCAAGGGGAGGAACACAAAACATTTTATCGGCTCGTTGTGACCATTGAGGCTGTGACAAGCAACAAAATCACGTCACAAGTTTATGGTACCTGACACGCAGAAAATTTAAAAATATCCGTGGGACCAAGAACGTTCGGTTGCATGCTTGCCAGAATACCGAGAAGGTTGGATTGGACCAGGGCTCGAATTTTATCGCGGCAATTGCCGTAGAGGGAGAACAAAATGCCGTGGATCATTGCGGCAACGACGGCAATTTTTTGCCGCATAGTGCAATTTTTATTAACTATTCAGATGTTGATCAAATCACGCGTAAATCACTATTAGTCTCAGTTTTCTTCGAAAAAAAACCCCACTAAAGAAATACGTAGACATGTTTCTAGCTTGTCCAAAATCCAAAGTAACAATAAAATTAAAGTTTTATTACAGTAATTTGAAAAATGCCGTGGAAACTGCCAAAATTGCCGTAGACAGCTGTTACGTTCTACGGCAATTTTTAACGTCATTGCCACAGATTGATTTCAGGGAAATTCGAGGCCTGGATTGGACAATAGCTAAACCCAGGCTATCTTACTGGTGAATATGACATGAAAACATCGCTATACTACTAGACAAACTATACATTCTGCGCAAGGTTTTAGAACACTTCAAACACTCATTAATAATTCATAAGCTTATTGGCAAATCATGTCAACCATAATATGTCACGTGCAGTGGCTTTAAACCTGATAAAACACTCCTAATTAGCATTCTTTATATCAAGAAGTATAATAAGGCAGTATCTATTGTAGTCGTGTCCTCATTTGCGTTCTTTATATAAAGAATACTAATAAGGCAGTATATCTATTGAATTGGTAGTCGTGTTTGAAGCCGTTTAAAAAACTCGCAGGACGTGTTTTATTAGGTCTAAATAAAACACTCCTGCTCGTTTATTAAACAGTACATAAAAGCATTATCCCTGAAATTTCAAACAATTTAGTAGACTTTAATTTAGTAGACGTTACTCTGTAGCTCAAACAGGCTAGTGAAAGGCGATTATGCACACACAGTTCGATTATTTTTTTAAACTTTATTCAGTCTTTTACGTAGTCCTGCGTATGGAAACGAATGACGTTGGCACTATGCGGTTCAGAACATGTTACCAGGACGTTTTTTTTAAATATTTTAGCTCACGTTTTTAAATATCGAAATACGAATACGACCTACGAACCTGTTCTGTCCGTGTGAAAGTTCTCCAAAAATTCCACAAGTTTTTCTTTGTTTTTTATAAGAATATCCCGTATAGCTTGCGTCTTGTTTGGATTGGCTACAAAGATCTGTCGTAATAAAAAAAATTCATACTGGTTAGTGTCCAATATCTTCAAGATATTCTAAACAGCGAGTAAAACACCTGATAATTTACATGAAAAAGCTGGCGCTCAGTTCTGCTTGGCTAAGAGCAGTTGTAATGCAGTGACAATAATGTAATTCCGTTTTGTTGTTGTTTTTTTTTTACCATCTACATTACTAAATAATAGGCATGGTTTCTCGTACAATTTGCAAAATATATACACTCGTCAGACCCGCGAGTTATTCAAATACATATTTTTCCCAAATTGCATTCGAAACCATACTATTATACAAAATGTGCCTCGTACAAAACTGAAATTGGAAACAAATTTTTCACTCGTGGCGACTGACTGCAACCCTCGAAATTCGCCTCGGCACTCGGCAATTGCCGACGCAAATGCCGAGGCAAGTTACGATTTTTCATAGTTTGCCTCGGCAAAAAAATGCCGAGGCAATTCCACCCGCTGTTCCTTAAATTACAAACGACAGTGTCTGTTCATTTTTTTCTTCTTAAATATACAAACTACACTACAGTGTTCGTTTTTTGTATCACTTCTTTGTTCGAATTGTTGTCATCGACGTCGGGTGAACAACAGAAGATTTCATAGCTACTTTACAAAATATTTAAATTTGAGCTTTTCAGCGTCGGCTTCGGTTGAAATAAAGAACAATCTTGATGGTTTAATTAAAGACGGTACGTCGAGAAACTTTGTTTTATCTTTTAGACTGTCGCGCGATTCTACCGTCAAGTTTATTCTTTCATACAATTGGTTGTAAATTACCACTAACTTTTTAAAAACATTTTGAATCAGGAATTTGTAAAATAACAACAAATTGTCGAACGTCAGAAGTCTCAGAATCTACGCTCGTTATAATATTTGTTTACAATAATTTCCGTATGTACTTTACTTTAATTACAACTGCCGACGTGAATGCCGAAGGGTGCCGAAGCAATTGCCGAAGGAATTTAAGGTGATTTCATTGCGTGCCTCGGCAAAAAAAATTGCCGAGGCACTGCCGAGGCAAACTCGAAAATTATCGAAAGGCTTCGGCAATTATTTGCCGAGGCAAAAATAGTTGAATTTCGAGGGTTGCTGAGAAAAAACTTCCTTTCCGCTTTTGTATATAATTTGCCAACATATTAAACAACGATTTTTTAATGTTATCTATATACAAAGAGAATACTTCATAACACATTGATAAAGGGATTACGTTTAGCGACCAGATCAGTCCTATATTCACTTTTAGGCGACTGAAATATTTTTAAAATTTCAACCCCTGCTCTTAAAAATATTTTCGTTGTTTTTTGTTCATTTTTGTTTTGATATGCCAAAACAATTATTCACCTCAGTGTTGGTGAATAGATATTCAAAATATCCTTCCTTGCACTATTCAGGTCCATGTCGGTGAAAAATTGTTAACTATGTGTGTGAAGCTTGTAGTTTCAAAGGGGAAATAGAGAAGCTACACACAAGCTACGAGTCAACAGATTAAAGGATTAGAGTCACACCAGGAATTCGCGGGCTCAAACTCCTGCTGGCGGCCATTTTTCAGGACGAATAAATTAGATGATCTGGAAGGATTTTGCAATCCGTCATATATTTAAACCATCCTTTTATAATCCTTGCTCTTTTTGTCTTATTTTTTATCAGAAATGTACCAAACAAGGTATTGTTATCGCTATTTGTTGTATTTGAGTAAAATGTAAACAATAACAAAAGCCCGCAATGCATGACCCTGACACTAATCTTCTTCAACATTACGCAACTTACGAAAACCTTGACATACATATGTGACGTCATTCACTGACTCACCTTAAAAACATGAAAAGCTTCAAATTGAATATTCCTACTCTTATCTCGCAACATATTCATCATTAACTTGAGATTTTCTTGATTGCTGATGAATCGAGTCATGACGGTGAAATTATGACGATCCAATAATAATTCACCAAGTAACTAAAATGAAATTTTATAAAAAAACATTAACAAGAATGTTTCCACAATTTTCCCGCCTAAATCGTTTTACTCCTACCTTAATGGACTGTCGTTTGGTAACATAATTTTCGGAAAACAACAACTGACGATAATGGTCGAAAAACTAAAATGAAAAATAAGATTTGCCGTAATTAGACTCCACTGTAGTTAGCATATCTTGACAGGAAACTTTCTTTCTATCCTACTCACATCCTGTTTCTGAGGGAGGAAACATGCAATATCCCGTAAAAACTCAAGGAAAGCTCTTTCCACATGTGCAACCTATATCTTGCTCTTTCTAGAGTCTACACTGTAATTTTCAAGGAGTTAATTTAACTCCAGTGGTATTATTCTGAACCTAATTTTACTCCACATTTGGAGTTAATTGAGGTACAGTATAACTCCAGCGGAGTTAAATTAACTCCCGGAAATTAACAGTGTACTTCATGTTGTAGTTTGTGTACCTTATCATATTCTCTATCCAGAAATGAAGCACAAATCATTTTATGTCTCGTTAATAGTTCCTGAAGAAAAATAAGGTTTATAAATTTATATCAGAGAATTATAATTAAAATATCAACAGAGAGCCTTATATATCTGAAATCTCCATATGCAGAAAGTTTTATTTTTCTTACACAGGAAGAGAAATATATTTTTTAGGCCTGGCGCAGTCTTCAAATATCATGAGAAGATTTTGACCTACCTTAAACGAAGAAAATGCGTCTGAAGCGATGTCAAATGTTGAGAGTTCAACGTAGACGAAGAAGTCATAGAAACATTTATCATTTAATATGAAATTTGCCAGAGATTCATGACGGACGCACTCACGAAGCATAACACCACAGTTTAACGCAATGTCAGGATTCTCGTAACTGAAACGATAAACTTTCTACCGTGAGTATTACCACAGAATAAAGACACACAGAAGGTCGACTTAGCCAAAAAAGTGTAACCCACTGGTGTTATTCACATGTTGCTAGAAAATAGCAACATGTACTATTTTTAAGACCAGTTGACGAACGTTAACCACAACTTCATGTATATATGTATTTTCGGGTGTGCGGGTTATGATAAGGTGAACATGAAAGATCTTTCAAGATCACCAAATATGTATTTAAAACTTTTTCATAAAATACACAACAATGGTAACTCCGAACAAAGAGTTGTTCTGTATATTATTTGTAATTGTTTGTACATACATTCAAATGAGGTCAGTTTTAGAAAATGCTGATGGTCCAAAAATACAAAAATAGAACTTTTAGTACCGACGTATTTGAAAACTACTGTGATCTATTGAATTATTTTACAGGAAAACTCACCCTTTTACAAGAACATTGAGTATATCAGATTTTGAATGAATATATTCTACGGTTGGAGAGCGAACGCCAATCTGACGTCTCAGGACATTGTTGAATATTTGAGCAACATCTTTCTTTGCCTTAAAAATCAATATCATTGTTTTTACATCTTATGCACGTGATTCTATTTAGTCAAGTTTCTTTTTGTGCGATATATAAACGTATCGAATCATATGCGTTGTATACCGCGTTTCACACCAGATAAACTGCGACCTTCTGTGATACAATTCCATGCATATGAAACAAAGTTCGACGTTTCGAGTGAAATTCCTTGGTCTGGAAGTTAACTTTCAAATGAAAGGCCTTCGTTCGAAGTTAACGTCGAAGTTTTTTTTATATTCTCTCACATCGACAAAAGTTCGCAGTTTGCATTCTCCCACACTGGCCAGACCACAAACTTGGGCACTCTCTCTTTGCGCAGGCGCACAAATGAACAGTCTCCTGCAAGTGCGCATCAAGAGGCAGTCAAGGGTACACGTTGAAAATAATGAAAATCAGAGACTTGAGGGCTGATTAAAGATCAAACATTGTTATAAAGTGCACCCCAGGTGCGCTAAAATTTCTACCTTCAAAAATATATTTTGGCTAATACTATAGTTTCTTTGCCGTATTCTATTGCGAATTTAAACTCTTTAAAGACCATATCAAGTCCGTAATGTAAACAAATCCTTTGTTTACATTTTGAACTGCTATATTTGTAAAGTAAGACATACTAACTGAAAATCCAACACTTTTCTGGTTCGCAATTGTAAATGAATATAAACTAGAGTACGTTTCAATTCAAGAAAGTTCGAAAGATGAAAAATTTGGGCAATGTTTATATCTGGGGTCCCCCTTTGTTATGAGCAGAACTGATGCACAGAACTGATGCGCAGAACTGATGCGCAGAACTGATGTGCAGAACTGATGCGCAGAACTGATGTGCAGAACTGATGTGCAGAACTGATGTGCAGAACTGATGCGAAGAACTGATGCGCAGAACGAACTTGACATGGTCTTTAATGATTTTATGATTTTTTAATAGAGTTGTACCGATTTTACTTGAGAGAAATATGTTAAAAGGCAAAAAAGTCGACGTGGTTTACTGCTATGTATACGATAGTTTAGGAGATTTCAAGCCATCTTTCCTTCCTTCCTTCCTTTAATTCTAGGAGGGTTAGGCCTGGCACGGGCAAATGCGGGCTACAAGCAGAGCCTGGGCAGCTCTGCCTTGAGAGTGCGATGTTGACAACTCTGCCTTGAGAGTGCGACGTTGACAACTCTGCCTTGAGAGTGCGACGTTGACAAATCTGCCTTGAGAGTGCGACGTTGACAACTCTGCAGTTTGGTACACTGCCCTGTTCGAGATTTGATCAAGTGCTGATGCACTGCAAAGGCCATAAGTGATGTATATTATAACACATATCAGAATAATTAATATATAAATTCTTGCTATAAAGACTTCTACACTATGGACTCCAACTAGCACATTCTTTTGGAGTCCTTCAAATAACCAACCTCAAAGTCCATTTTTTCAAGGCTATCCAACAGTGCTTGGATTGTATCATTGTTATAGAACTCTTGTGAAAGCTGGGCTACAAGTTCTGTCTGCGGTTCTTGTTCTAAATAAGAAAATTATTCACATTTTAAATACTTACTATATAGACAAGGCCCAATAATATTATTTAGCACCTGCATATATGCAAGCAAAATTCATGGAACTTCTGAATGTGCCTGCAAAGAGGTATCATATTTTAGGTTTTGAGAGCTAAATATTCCAAATAATGTCTTTAGAAATGTCAAGATTTTAAAAAGAGATGTTAGAAGATGTGCATGCACAGATTCAAAAGGTATATATGTGAGTATTTTATGCATGGATAAGGGTGGAGGAGGTGGAGAGGTTTACACCCTACAAACATGTTTAAATTTACAGTTTGTCTCATGTTCATGTTGTGTTCATTTTTCAGTTATTGGCACCTTCGGACTGTATGCATTTTTTCAGACAATTTTGTCTTGTATTAATTTTTTTCTGTTCTTTCCCACTCATCCCAATTCAGTTTCTAATGGTCTGTAATGTGTGTATAATATACATAATAATTATCGCTTCTTTTGTTTTTATCTGTTCATCTCTCAGTTAGCATAATTTATGAAAACTGCTTGTGAACCTACCCCCAGTTCCATACAACATGGCTTTCATTGCAGCAAGATATTTACCAATGTCCTCTAAAGCCTGAAACACAACATTGTGAGAGCAAGTTGAAACAGCTATACATGGTAACATGTGAACAAGCGGTGCTCAGAGGGTTTAATTAATCTGCCCATGTGTTGAGTTAACCCGTTCATTTAGTTGCTGCCACTCAATTTACTGTTGTTCCCAGTGAACTGCAAAACGACCGTTTTTATAGGCGCTTTGTCAGTGACAGTTTTGTCAATTACGAAGGACATATTTGTGTACCTCGTGATCACAATTCGTTGCAAGCGGCATGTGAAAAACTGCAATTAACTGTCAATAAAGTGTCAGTTTGACAGTTAAATGAGTTTCTAATTTTATTGTCCAATCAGATGCATAGTTTTGAATTTTAAATCAAAACTACGCACCTGATTGGACAATAAAACTAGAAATCATTTAACTGTCAGAACTGTCAAACTGAAACTTGCAGTTTTTCACACGCTGCTTGCAACAAATTGTGATCACGAGGTACACAAATATGTCCTTCATAATTCACAAAACTGTCACTGACAAAGCGCCTAAAAAAACGGTCGTTTCGCAGTTTACTGGGAACTAAGACTGTTCGGTATACCGATATACCGAAAATATCGGTGTTAAATCAATATCGGTATATCGATACCGGATATTCATCCATACCGATATACCGAAATTTCGGATATACAGACCTCTCAACTCTCACGCATTTGGCGCGAGTCTCACACAATTCGCTTCACTCTCACGCTCTCACGCCACGTTTAGTAAATCTCACGCATATAGCAGTTTCATAGTATTTTTTCAATAATGTAATATTGTATTCTTACGGTAAATGCATTAATCATTATACGGATCGCGAATCGAATATATAATCGTGTGTTATTCATGTTCCTGCATATACGGCCCGACATTTGGCCCGCAATTTGGATACAAAATAATACGCATATGTAAATATGGCGGACAAAAGGCAGAAATCAGTCGGAGCAGAATTCTGTATGTAAATTATCAAAGGCAAATTAAAGCTCATTACTGTATGTCGCAGAAATACAGTTATTGTAACTAAAGTGCCTTGTCTTAAAGGACGTTATGTCTTATGAAGCAATGTATTTCATTAAAAAACACCAACTCTCATAATGTACAAAATGCCATTTCAGACCCCCGGACTTTTGCAAAGGTGTCATCCACATCCCCAATTTCACTCTTAATTTCTCTGCAAAGTTGCGAGGTCTGGATATACCGTGCTAAATTTACCAACTATATGGCAAAACCATAACCTTTATTTTACTATTGAATGGCAATTCAAAGAACTTTCTACTGCAATGATTTAGAATTTCCACTTCAGTGAGATTTTACACTGAGTACATATGCATGTCGTTCGAAACATGTTCGAAACAGCTTCGAAATTATCGTTTTCCCTTTTAGAATTACTCAAAATTTCCTTCAAGCTTCCATTAAAGAATTTTCCTTTATAATTATCAAAGGAAAACCGGTATACCGATAATATCGGTATAATTTTTTTCGGTATAACGATACCGGAAATTTCTCATACCGAACATTCCTACTGGGAACAATAGTAATAGTTTGAATATCATGCTGTGCAGCAAATAATTGCAGTTTGCTGGCAAATATTGCAAGAACTGTGGACCATATGGTCAAATTAAATTACTTAAAACTCAGAATTTTACCCAACCTTGGTCCCAGGCTCCTTCTCCAGCAAGGTAGGAGAGGAAAGAGCCTGGGAAGGAGGTTAAATTTTACCTTTTCATTCTTTTTTCCTGACTGTTCTTTAGACATAATGTTTAATGATTCATGAAGTGCTTTGACTAATTCCGCTGGATTTTTCTTGCCTGAGCTAAACAATGGCATCTTTCCTGAAGAAATAAGGACTTTGTTAACTCATTTGCCATTCAATTCCCACTCTCATGCTAGCTTGCAGGCAATCCCAGACATTGCCAAAAAAATCATGTAAGCACACTATGCAACAATGAATGAAAAACATGCCACCCAAAATACTTCCATCAATTATTTCCTGGAAAAGCACAAGGCAAGCTTTTCATCATTATATCTGGGAATGCCAACAGATATAGACTAATGCAAGCAATGTAGCATGTTTAATGGGGGGGCAGAAGTAAAGAGCCTGTCTTCATTGCAAGCTAGTTGTAGTGCCAGGTGAGTTTACCATCAAAGAGCATGTGTATGTGTTCAGTTCATATAATTGACATTCATAACCTGATTGACAAATAAAATCATCTACTGTTAAGCCTAAATATTTTCCACTTTGAAGTGAATGTGTTTTTGTGAAGCTAGGGAAAAATTTAGTAATATGATTTGTTAGCTGATCAACAAAATTTGATGTGAAAAGTAGGCGACAGTATTTTTGAAAATGCTTGCATTTCTCCATTTGTGCCTGGCCCAGTACATACCTCCTTCAAGGACTGCAAGGGAAAATCTACTTTTGATAAATTTAATATAGGGATGTTTGAAGAGGGAGAGGGGTTAACTTTCCATTTGTTGCATTATCTGGAATGTCTCAATTAATAAACTGTACATGTTATGTTTCTATCCAATGTCACCTTATTATACAACACTATATATTGTATCTTTTAACTGAGATCAAGGAAAATATTGGGTACACAGTACAATATTTTACACTCATGTAAGAAGGAGTGGTCTCACAAAGCAAGTTGTAAAACCATGAATACAAAACAAAACACATAATTATATATGGAGTTATATAATCAACATTTTTATAAGAGGGTCAAATATGCCAATGTGCACCCAGTCTTTTGCCTGACCAAATCATACTGATAAATTATGAACATCAAGTTTGATCGAGACAGCACTTTCCTGGTTGGAAATGTTTAGGCATTATTTATGTCACCAGTTCAGGTGTGAAATCAACAACAACAATCTTTAATAGTGTTTTGTGATTTCAAGCAACAAATGTTACCATCATTAAATGCTCAATTTTGTATGCTTGACATCTGTGTTTACAAAAACATTGCTTGCCTAAGCTCTGTAATGCCCACTGCTTTAATAAGCTGTCTTGCTTGTCTATTATGGTAATTCATTTTATTGACATTTAATAACAGCAGAGTTTAACATTATCATGTTGTGGCTTTTAAGAATACTTTTATGGCTCTATAAAATACATAAAGATGAGTAAAACGTTTATTTTGGCAGAATATTATAAGAAATAATATTATAATAAAATATAAGCTCTCAAGGAAAACAAACTATCAAGATAACATGTCAAGATACAAATCATACAATAATTTCTAATTATAAACACAAAATAAAAGCTGTCCTCAAAATGTAAATAAAAGCTATACTGTATTTTGTTGTATGAGATAGATAGCAATTCATTAGAAGTGAGACTAAAAGCAGTATACTAAACAAAAGTTATTGTATATACAACCTACCTTTTTTATGATATCACAAGCTTAATACTCTTAAAACCTTGTTGAATGATGTCTGTTGAGGGCACTGTTGAGGGTCCCAACGACTCCACACTAATTCAATATTGTACCAGCTAAAATACAAGTTTCCAGCTAAAATATAGGCCGGAAGCGGCTACTGCAAACGAAAGGCAATGAACGGAACACTTTATTGCCATAAATGACACTTTTCGAAAGTAAAAATGTACAAATTTCTATCAAACGAAAATCATCATAGTGAAATAAGCATACATAGAGCGCAGAGCCTGGGGAGAGGAACGCCTCGCGTGGGAACCAAAATCTATTTTTGGAAATTTATACAATGCACAAATACGTGCTATTTGCACAATTACTGGAGCGTATTATGCATATTACCTCGCATTACATATACACTTGACTTTTAAGTCTCTAGTAAGCAGGGCCGGATTAACGTTCCGCGGGGCCTGTGGCATATTATTGGAGCGGGACCCCTTGACCCCCCCCCCACCTGCCAACGGCATTTTAGACCCTGAATTCAGTCAGATTTAAAAATATCCTTTTGTATTTCATGCGTTGAAAAGTTTCCTGTGTATTTACAAAAAAAGACAATTTGATCGAACTGAAATTCAACGCACTTTATACAATTAACATTATTTTTATTTACAGGGGAAAAATAGCTAAACATGATAGCGTCCATATAAGGCTTCTGCCGTCTTCCACGAATTTCAACGATCTTTTAGTATGTAACAGTTCGCTGCAAATTTTGAAATTTTCTGAACCCTATGATTTTCTGGCCTTGCGATCGCTTTTTGGAGCCCCTTGCCCAAAGAAGGAATAAAAAATTTTGTGTTTGCAGGCCTGCTTTTGGAGCCTCGCCTTTTTAATTTTAACTTTGGGGCCTCGCGGTTTTTTTAGTTTGGTGTTTCGCTTTTCGGGGCCTTGGACTCTTTAGGGCCCCGCGCTAAAAAAGAGAACAAAAAATTCGTTTGGAGCCCCTCACTTTGGGTCCTCTATTTTTAAATTTTGGCCTATAACGTTTGGGCCTATAACGTTTTCTGGGAACCTTGGGCTCTTTGGGGCCCCGCGCTGAAACACTAAAACAGGGAACAAAAAGAAAACCGTTTGGGGTCGATTTTTGCGTCCTCGAGTTTTGTGGGGGACTTGGGCTCTTTCGAGCGCACAGTTTGAGCCCCGCGCTGAAACAGGGAACAAAAAATTCAGAAAAAGAAATAGAAGAGAGAAGCGCGGGGCCCCCAAATGCGCGGGGCCCGTGGCATATGCCGCTTCTGCCATATGGTTAATCCGGCACTGACTAAACCCTACAATCAGTGACAAAATACATGGACCGGTTAGGCTGAGATTGTAACATAAGCCCGGCCCCTGTTCAATGTTGATAGGTTAAAATTGGAATTTTATTTGATTTAGTTTTGTAGTGTTGTATTGTGTTGCTGATGACATTCTCAGCACGCGCGCAGCAACATTGAAATGGGGGAGGCGGATTTTACATGTTATTTCTGCAATTGTTTACAAAATAACCCTCCAATCGAAGTGTCGCACCTTTCAATGGCACTGACTGCAGGCAGACTCGTACCTAGGCGCTTTAGAGAAAAAACATATGATTGCGGTAACTAAAGCTACTGTATAGAGATCAGTGGCTAAGCTGAGCCAGCGCGCACCCATGCGCGCTCGCCCTGATCGCTATACAGTAGCTTAGCGCGATTATATTTTTTCTCTAGAACGCCTGGGTACGAGGCTGGATTGCAGGAAAGTTTGGGGTGGGGCGAAGAAAAGGCGACAGCAAGAAATACACGGCGTCCACCACCTCCGAATTATCTCACAGAAATGTTTAATTTCTGTTCAAACGAAACGTACAACTTGAGAAGTAACTTTTGCCAACTTTCCCTTGATAAACCTAACACAAATTTTCTCAAAAAAAGGTTCATATAGAGCGGCAAAATCTTGGAACAATCTCCCGGATAACATTAGACAAAACGTCGACAATATCACACTAAATGTCGCCAAATCTATGCTCATAAATCACTACAGACCCGATTAAGTCCCCTTGGGTTAATCAGTAATATCAGTAGTTTTTTACTATAATTGGAATAATTAGTTGTTTAATGTATTAGTATATATTATAGTGTGAAGCTGACCAGTATGTAGGCTTCACTATTTTGTATTATAGAATTAGGTTAATATATGTTGTATAGTGTGCACGATCCATTGAAAATCAGCGTAGCATGCTGAATGACTATCGGGCTTACAGAATTTTAAAGATTAAAGATTAAAACTATTGACCTGCGAACAACTCCCAACTGCCGAGTAAATGCCCAAGGTCTAGGCTGGTCTAAGAGGATATTGTGAAGCTATCTTGAGAAACGTCCATTCGAAAAGGCTACAACTGATATCAGTTCCCAGTCAGCTAATGCAGATTTCCTCCAGGTGATGAATAAGGACGCAATAACTTTTGCCTTGAACCAGGCGTATATCTTTTACCAGAATTAAATGATCTCGAGCGAGCAAAGGCTGTAAATGCATTGTCTACAAAATTGTCTTCAACCTCTGGCGACATTGCCTTGCTTTCTGATAAGCTATTCTGTCTTCCTGTCTCTACGTTGGTTGTCAACGATAGGTGGGAAGAACTTGTAATTTCATCACTAAAGACGTCTGTGATTTCAGCTTCAACTTCCAGATTGAAATCCAGTTTCTCATTACTGACATGTGCGAACACGTCGGTAAAAACTTTGAATGCCTTTTTGGCTTCCTTTACGCTACTACATGAAAAAATATGAGCTTTCACAGCCGAATCCGCTTCTCCATCTACAACCAAGATAACATTTTTCGAATACTGTTTCATGTTACCGCAATATATGACTTCTTTGATATTGCAGAATTGAAAACAATTTTCAGAGATTCCTTCAGTGTTTTGAATAAACACAGACGTGGAACAAACATCGATGAATAGACAAACTTTTCTTTTAGCTTCCTTCTTTAACCAAAATTTTCCAGACATTTGTTTGGGTAATACATTTTCCATAATTTCATGGACATACGCATATTCGTCCCGCCACGCAGTTTCACCCACGTAAGATACAGTAAAACGACACTGTAGACCATTTTTCATTCCTTTACCATCTTCGTGGTCGTCACAGAGGCTACGAAACCTCGATTTTCGTCGACCTTGAGCAGACATGTTATTTCTATATTATTGAAAGAAGAGATTTGAATTAAAATAAAACGTTTTAACTTGCTAATTGGACATTAATAGGATAATACTCTTATCTATAAGCACCTGCCAAAGAGCCTTTATCACAGTTTCACTGCTTTTACATGAGGCAGACGACATTATATAAACAAAAGTACAGAACATTACAGGAAGTCAAATCACACTGGCATTTCCAACAACTAATCTCTTACCCAATATGCAATATTGCAATAAGTACTTTTCCACCTCGCTTTTCACGAACTCTGAATTACCTACATTATTTATAAGTAATAACATATGGTTCTTTTAATCTCATGAGCTGTTGGCGGCATCGGCTAGAGCCGGCACGAATCAGTTGATTAAACTGTAAAGTGGTGTGTTGTTCCTCAGCCTTTTATAATAATATCTTTGCTTGAGAAGCGTCGGTGGTAAATACACAATAATAATACAGTATCAATATTGCGTAGGAAATTAATACATACACACATGAGACGTGCTTGTGCGCGCACAAAGTTGAAGCCAATACCCAATATTGCATGAAACTACATGTAAATTGGATACTTCTCTTTAGTAACCGAAGGCGGTTACTCCCTCGCTGTATTCATTCACGGCACGGCATAGGAAACATTTTCGAAGGCCTTAATTTTTTTTGAAACCTTACATAGTTCTTGCGTTTTTGACGATTATTTTACATATTTCTTTCTTTTAGACTACGGATCACGCTAAGCTGGAGCGAAGTTGTTTGAAAACGTCACTTTCGCCATAATAATTTCAGGACGGTCTCTGAACACGGAGCGCTTGGCGGCTTTATGTGAAGATGAAAACGGAGCGCTTGGCGGCTTTATGTGAACACAAACGCCGTTACATTTTTGAACCGCTTGCAAAAAAAAGCATCTCAGGTTTCAAAACAGTAAATTCTAATGCTTTTGGTTTAAATTTCTTTGCTCTATTTAAGATATTTTTGGTTTACATGATTAATTTACATCCACAATTCCGCCGTAAATATATTTAAATTTTGAAAGGTATGTATCTTACGTGAACAGTATGCAAAGCATTGTGGAATTAAAAATATTAGATTATACCTGCATGGTATAAGTGAACAGCCCGCATTACTGGATTGGAATGATCGAGTTTAAATGAAATCGTGCATGTAAATCGGCAAATCATTCTGTTTTGATTTTATTTGAGAAATTATTGCGGATATATGGATCGGAGGTATACAGTCGAACCTCTGGATTAAACGGTCACCATTTTTCAACATGCAGCCAAGTATTAAAGTCCAAAAATATTCCCTGTAATACAATTATTATAAAATAGCCCTGCGTCCAAATGGTTTTTTTTTTCGTGTTGTTTAATATTATGATCTGTCTCTAACTCATCTTAACTAAAATTCTAACGTATATGCATATTGAACTAACAAGTAGCCTAATTTTTAAATGATTTCAAAATTGAATGAATGTTGAGATGAGATTGTTTCAAATTCGTTTATATGCCTGTATGACATTTCCTTATTGCGCGCATGTTGCCATCAGTAAAATATCTATCTTAGCACGTACAGTACAAAATCCGTTTCTCGCAGGCATTTACCGCCGACTTGGCAAGAAATTTCCAAACCATCATCGCCGGCTCTGTTTATACCACTTATATCATTATTATTTATTACGGGCTGTTACTGTCAACTTTATATATGCGCTCCTCATTTATATTGTCATTTGAATAAAACCAAGCGACCATATGCATCTCTGAGTGACCACATGTGTGATGCCGAACCCAGAGGGTGGTCGTTTAATAGACTTCAATTGTATAATTATATATCTGATAAGCTATCTAACCATGTTCCTAAGGAAATCGGTAAACTATATAGTTACTGATATAAACCTATTCAAATCATGTATTACATATATGCCGTGTGCATACTAGCCTATCTTCTTGGTTACTGCTTCGATCGCATGCTGGGATACGTTTTGACTTTTGAGGTATTGTCTATTGAAATGAGTTGTCAGTGTAATAGAAAAACTCAGATGATGCAAAAATCGAGTAAAACGTAGAATAATTGTAAAAAGCTCATGACTTTCTAGATTAAAATTGCTTTTAAATGGCTTCATATTGCTGCTTTTCTGATTACACAGTATATCAGAACAATTAAAGCGCAATTTCGCCGGGTCAATAATTGTGACTCACTTCAATAGTTCATTAAATCAAATGATGGCAATAATATTAATATTGACAGACTACTTTATTCAGACTAGTGTTGGGTTTTGCCTGTGGCTATGAATATCAAAGTTCTCTTTGTGCCGTCGATCTTGTTTATCACAGCATTAATTAATCACTATACGACAGACTATAAAGTATACAGTATATAACGACTTGGTTAAAACTTTATAATCCATGCAATTAGCGGTGAATTACACTTACCGGTTGTTCGGATCAAAATTCAACGATTTCCTTCAGTCCACGCGTTACTTCTGGTTACAGTTTAGATATATTTCACGCTCTCTGAGTCTCGGCAATAAACGAGACCTAATTTTTCTGGCAGATAGAAAATGAAAGACGTATATATACCGACACCGGGAACTATGAAGTACTGGGCAGTGTCGAACTATTAGGCATAATAAAATACTCTTAAAAAGTCAAATATAGGCTACGTGTGCAATTAATCTAAGAGATACTCAAAGACAAAGACTGACTATTCGTTTATCCAAGAACATATGAATAAATTACCTTTGTTGCGACAGCAACGTTGTCTTATGTTGTGTATATCACTTTTAATTCTTTGTGCTTAATTTCCGTTTTGGCCAAAGAACAAAATGGAATTTCCGTTTAATTTTCTTCCGTAAATATATCTCTTGCCCAATGTGGCTGATAATGATAATATTTTGACAATCGATTAAACAGGTGCAAGCTAGTGTCCCTGCCTCCATCATATTGACCGTCGATGGCCATGCTTCGTTTCGATTGGTCAAATAGTTTTGAGAGGCATGCAAACATCTTGAAGTGCAAGTGGTCAAGTGGAAAACTATATAGCCTGCGTAGCAGACGTTTTTTGGAGCAGGACTCTCGCTCGCAGGTCCTCACCGTCTGCTTTCGCAGGCTAGTGGCAAACATTTTATTGACGCTCGGAACTCTTTGTTGTAATATTGTGACTCGAACTGCTTATAATAACTGACAAGCTGTTCGGCCAGCCATGAAAATAACTTCAGTCCAATGACTTGCACAGGTATTTGAATCCCAAGATCTAGCACCGTTTGCCCACTGTCTAGCCGATCAAGTGGCCGAGGGTGTAGAAGGGTCCGGGTACTGTGGATGGATATTTCGAGTGCACATTTTGAGCATTTATTTAGACCTAATCAGCAGCAGCTGCGTAAAATGCATATATATATATAGGTAAGATAAAGATAAACACTTTATTTATACACTCTAACCCCGTGAACCGAAGCTGATTTCCACGAGGGGCGTGTTCAAAAATAGAAAAAATTCCATAAAGAAGATATTAAGAGCTATTTACAAAAAATTTGGCAAAATACTGAATTATTTACATGATACGAACGTTATTGGAATATTTACAGGCACACCAATTTACTTATTACTCTATGTCAATGATGTGAGCATTCAGGTATAGCCGTATATAGGAATCGAACCTGAGCTCCTGCGATTCCAGTGCAGTTCTCTAACATGACTGAGCTACAGAGTCGAGTTGTCGAGCTCTAACCGCAAGTTCATGTACACGTTTTTAACAACTAGATAAGATTTTGACGTTGTCTGTTCACTGATAGAAATATAATATAGATACACAGTATGACGTCATAATGTAGGATGAACTAATAAGTGTCTCACGAGCTGTCGATGCGACCAGTGGGTCACTTTTTGTTCTTCCCACATAATCAGATGTCATACTGTGTATCTACAGTATAGCTAAACAGACAACGGCAAAATCTATACACATTTGTTCTAGTGTAATAAAAAGAAAACCGCATGGGGCCGAGTAAAATTAAGAATTATATAATTTACCACAAGTGAAATAAAACCTTAATTTGACGAGGAACTATGCGATTACTTGTTAATCATAGAGGGCAAAATTTATTCATAAGTTAATTGTGAACTTGTCAAGTTCTTGAACCTCGTATGTCTCCATGTCTTCGCCGATGTTCCTTTATTCAAATGCTGCCCTGCCTGCCCATTTCTTAAATACTCCAACCAATAAATTTTGTAGTTTTTGTAAGTGTTCAAGTTTTCACTAGAAGTTTTTAAATCTTCAATAACATCACTATCCGCGACGACAAAGCCATTGTTTTTATTGCTATTTAATTGGCAAGAAACTTCCCGCGCTTGCGTCTCAGCCAATCAGGTACAAGTAATTTTGCCCTGAATTAAGAAAAAATGCCCTCCTCATTAGCCAATCATATTTGAGTAATTTTGCCCTCTATATGATTAAACAGGTAAATAGTTTACTTTTTATCCACCCAAACATTTGGAAATTTGAAAAAGTCGAAATTTTACAAATATCACGCGTACGTGATCTATACAAATAAGGGAATGCTATTGGATAAGGTTTTGTGTGACGTAATTCCGTGCGTCTGTCCTCTAATAGATCATGGCTCTCGACCAATGAAAGCGCTTGAATTCTTAATATATCAAATAATATATAAAGTGATGCCATGGTAAGGTACATGGGTAAATACCAGGAGTTTTGGGCATCTCATTCAAATGAACATAAGGTTGAAGGATTTTGTAGATGGAAATTTCGAGGGCAAATTTTGGCCTTTTATTTCGGACCTAACCAGTTTCAAGGAACAATTCATCGATTAAAAACTATGACTGTAAACAGCAGCGTAAGAAGTTCAGCAATTTTTTAAAGTTCAGTGTCACTTTAGTTCGCCGAAAAAACCGTTGAATGGCGGCAAGTTTATAACTATGATGTTTGTGATGTTACTCGAGTGTATATCCACACCGAACAAGCTTGAAAAATATGACTGGCCACGGTGGGAAAC